CTTTTCTTTAGTGCTTTTGATGGATGTTGAATGTTGAATGTTTATTACTTTTTTGCATTGATTTAAATACTTAATAAATCATCCATAAAAAAAGTTCAAGACAATTAATGTAAAAGTAATATTTTTTTTATTATATCGAATTAGTGTTAATTTTTGTTAATTTTATTGTTTGTGTATGTAATATTAAACTACATAACAAATAAAAATTTATGAAAAATTATTTTTATTGCCGTGTCCCATGTTCATGTCCCCATTTTTTTAAATCACCGAGTCTCTTGTCCATGTCCGTGTTGCTCTTTTACAATTTTGTGGTCTCAAATGGGTTGGATTATTGTAATGATTAAAGGTATTTTTGATGACTGCACAAATGTGTGTGATTCCTAAATATTTTCAATCCTATATCTAATACAAACTTGCTCATTGGAGAGCTTATCTCAATTTCTAGGTTCAGATTGCATCTTTGCATCACCTGGTGCATCTTGTCCACAGATTCAATAACGTATTTATCCCTTGCATCCCTACAAATGGATGTAACTCATACAATCAATCGCCCAAGTGACACCTACTTCAAAGGATATGACTCCAACCATTGATTGCAATGATCAACTTTCTTGACACAAGCTGAAAAGAAATTAGTGTTGCACCATTTAAATGTCACATGTTCACCCAAGGCCCCAAATTTTCATCTCTTTGATCTTTGAAGACCCCAAAAATTTGTCTTTCTTGTCTAAAAGCATAGGAAAATAATAAATTCTCCTTATATCCTAAGGCTCATCGCCAAAGAAAATCTCCTTATCTAATGGCCTATACAAAAAGCCCTTATCCAAAAGTCAACAAAATAAAAACCCTCCTCCGTGTCCATATGTTGTCCAGGGAAAAAACAAATCTTATTTAAAAGCTCAACACAATAAAAACTATCTTTGTCTAAATATCCCCAATAGCATAGGCTAATAGATAATGATTTTAAAGTTTGTAGTTTTCTTTTTTATTTTAGTGACAACTTACTGAGGCCATGTGATTAAAATTTATATAATCCATATGATTAGATGTCACAGTTCACCATTAAAATAGTTCAAATCAAAGGCACATATCAGTGAGTTCAAATCAAAGGCACCTCCATGATTTATGTTGGTGGGAGGAACAATTCAAACTACTTATGGTAGTTCAAAACACACTCAGAAAGATAACTTGGAGCTACAAACACCAACTCCCATTTTACTGACAACATTTTGAAACAAAATACAAAGGAGAAAGCTTTGTCTTTTAGGGTGTGTTTGTTTGGACAGATTGGATAAGGGGGGATTGGAATCCACCGGATTGTTAGTCCTAGGATACATTGTCCCCGAACTATTTGATTGGACTGGATTTGTATCCCATGTTTGTTTAGTTATGAGATTAGATATCAAGAAAGGATTATTTGGTTGGATAGAATATGAATCTTATGTTTGTTTGGGATACTATGGAGAAATATAAATGTTCAAATGATTATTTTACCCTTCCAATTATTTACTTAGTAATAGTAATATTAAACATATCTTTAATATTTTAATTATTTTTAACTAGATTAAATAAAAATTTATTTTATTTTATTTTTTACACAATTAAATAAATTTATTTTTAAAAAATTAAATAAATTAAATATCAATAAAAATATATGTTATTTTTTTGATTAAAATTTTAAATAAATTTATTTTAAATAATAATAATAATTAAATAATGAAATTAAATAAAACATCTATTAAAATTTAAATAATGAAATTAAATAAAATATAAACAAAATTTTAAAATAAAATATCAATAAAATATCTATAAAAAATTATTTTAAAAAATTAAATTAATAAAACATCAATAAAAATTAAATAAAATTATTTTATTTTCAAAATTGAGATATTTAAATTTTATTAAATTTTACTAAACATAATACATAATTAAATAGTAGAGGGTTAAAATAGTCATTTCACCACCTAATCTCATATCCCCCTTATCCCTCCATTTGTGTTCTACCCCCCCCATGAGACACAATAGTCCAATGAATTTGGGACTAATAGTCCAGTGCGAAAATTTTGAACTAAACAACAGATAGTCGAATCCCACCCCTCAATCCCTCAAACAAACACCACCTTATTCTCACTGCTTCTTTCTACTCCCACACTGTTAACTCGCACAAACACTAGCTATTTATAGATAATCCTAGTAGTGTGAATACATAATGTGAACTACAACAATACAATTCTTATTCGAATTCTTCAGCCTTCATAAGCACAGTAAAGTGCCAACCATGTTTGAACTCCATCTTCAGCTATGATCTAGGTCCTAGCTTATAGCTTGAACTTTACTTCTAGAAGCAAGTTTACTCCACAACAATTTAGAATCATGGTTTAGACCAACATATTAATTGTGAAAACATCACAATTATCAAGGAAAGAAAGTAAATTTTTACTAAGCAGAAGGATAGAGATGTATAGTCCTCGCAACTAAAACTTTTCCACCTCCAAATTCTCTTTGCAAAAAAAATATGGTAAGTACCTCTAGCAGCAAGTCAAGATTAAGATAAAATCCAAAAATATCAGGCTTGACAATCAGAAACACATAAATTGCATAAAACTAATCACAAAAAGTATCCATTCAAGAAAATAATAATCCAAAGCATAACTCAAATCTTGAAGTACTTTTCTTCAACCAGAAACTCCAAAATCAAACAGACATATTATAAAAAGATGGATAGATGGAAATCATGTTTCCAAACACAAAGAAATACATAAAATTGCATAAAACTAATCACAAAAAGTATCAGTTCAAGAAAATAATAATCCACAACATAACTCAAATCTTGAAGGCCATCAGACATATTATTAGATAGATGGCAAATTATGTTTCCAAACACAAATTTCACTCATAAAACGAGTAATGCCAGGGACACAACCTCCAAACAAAGAATGGGATGCATACCTCTCACATGGGATGAGATGTGTTCCATTCTGTATTTGGTGGTTGTGTTCCTGAACTTATTGACAGAAGTCATTTTTTACTATAAAATACCATAATCCATATATGTTGTACTTTTCACATCTAATCAGGCACCAAATAAGAGTGCATGCAATCAAGCATAATGCTAACACAACAAGGAACACCACCCACTTAATCAGGTGGATGGAAAGGTCAAATGGAATTATTTCAACTTTTTGATAGGATGCAGACACCAGTACTGAATTGACCCGATCAGAAGTTACAATCCAGTCTGATTCCAAAGGAATAATCATTCGGTAAAGTTTTCATCTGAACAAGACTACTAGTTAATAGCTATTTATTCAAAAAATTTCATCTCCAGGGGTCTATATAAGAATCTGACTCATTCCAATGATCCAGACAGCATTATGCATATTCCTTATCTAATCAGCAGCAGGTAAGATCCTTTTCACTCTCATCTACCAAAGCCTTAATCAGTTTGGTTGACTGAAAAACTATTAGCTTCACAGACGCATATTGTGAAAACAAAATTCCTTCTAGGTAGAAATGCAGAAGTGAGTTCTTAGCATGATGCTGATGCTATTACAGTATTACTCGCATATTATCCACAACATACAGGAAGATAGCATCCAATTCTATCCAACATCATAAAAAGAATATCATGAAATTATACACAAGTATCGGAGATAAGCAATTCATGATGCAGCCACTAAAAAGACCAGCCGGACACTGAGGGCTAAGAGCAAGACCAACCAATCAAACACATCAGTATATCACATGATCCCGCACCTTTTGACCAACCACTTCTTTTCTTTATCACCTTGATGCTCATAAACTGAACAAATTAATCTACCATGATTTCCATAATCATAATCATAAGCCTTTAAATAACAAAGAGTTGCTCATCAACATAATCAATCAAAGGCCATAGAGAAACTGGGTTTTAGTCCTTCAATCCAGGCAGCAATATTTGAGCTAACAAAACTGCGAAAAAGCTTAACAGTCCCGTACCAGTGCAATGCCCAAAATGTAGCACGAACTCAATTCCATCAACTCTTTAATTTAATAATATCAAGAAGATAATACAAATTATAATTGCAAATCTCAACAAACATCCAATCTAAGCAAGATAAGATCCACTCAAAAGCTAGTCTCCATGTTATATACTGAGATGATATGATTTTTCTACACTTCTATCGGCACTGCATGTCGAGCAATGTACAAACTCAATTCATCATATTAAACTTCCACTACACCTCCAAGCCATTGTGTCATGCAATGATGCAAATATCCCTTTGGAAGTTTTACCATATAAAACTCCAGTTATGCAAGTAATGTCTACTCTAAGGCCTACTCCAGCAGTATTTCCACCGATTCAGATGATCAACATTTCAATCTATTCTATCCATATGGCCAACATCTGACCATCATATTAACATTTAACAGCCCACAAAGGTCAAGAGACAATGATGGTTTGAGAAAAATATATTCAAAAAGCATAATCAATCTAGGATACACTGCTCTACACCTCATGAAAAGCCCTCACTGTCCAATCCGTACTTCACAGCTGGAGCACCATACTCCGTTGTATAAACCTGTTGAAAGCTTCCCCAACATGAGAACCCCATGTCTTGTTTTAACTTTTTCTCTTTTATACTGGAACCACAATGCCGCGCAGCTCACAAACAAGTACAATAAACAAGCCATTGTTTTCGTCTTGAAAGGTATACAGACTTTAACCAGCTTTTTCAGCAGCAAATTTAGGCGCCAATTGATGGAAACAAAGAAAGAAAAACACACTAAAATCTAAAGAGTCCGACTCCGAAAACCCATAAATCAAGTAATTAACAACTGAGAATCAAGACAATTATAGTACCAATGAACAATAAGTAATATTTTATGCTCCAAATAACATGCAAACTCCACAATCAATAAAGAAACCAACTATTGTTTATGATACTAATGACATGTATTATCGCACAAACAATTAATTAAGAAATAATCAACAAAAGTGTATGGTAGAAATCACATACCTTCTTAGCAATTGACTGAACCAGTCGATCTCTTCCAATCTTTAGACCCTTCTTCTTGATCTTGTTCATTTTCTTGGACTTCTTCAACTTGCTCATGGTTTCATCTTTCAATTTGGGTTTCTTCTTCTTCTTCTTCTTTTTCTTGTTCTTCTTCTCGTTACCTTCAACGTACGAACCAAGAACATCACACAGGGCCAAAACCTTCGAGTTGTGAACCTCATTCTCTTCGCTACTATCCTCCTCCTCATCATCATACTCATACTCATCCTCATCATCATCGTCAACTCTCTCAACTTGTGGAGCCACCGCGAAAATCTCCACGATCGATCTCTTCTTCTGCGTTCTCGACTTGGCCTTCAATTTCACCGAACAAACCGACTCCAATTTCTCATTTTCTCGATCCAAAACAGTCTTAGACAATTCTAGAGCCACCTCCATTTCCTCCGCCTCGATATTTCCTAACTCGAAAGCAGTTTCGTTACACGATGCCTTGGACGATTCTCCATTTTCTTTCGATCGCTCAACCTTGAGCAAGTCAGACCACCACCTGAACTTCTTGACGGTAATCGGAGGCAGCGAAGCTTCTACATCTTCCTTTCGAGTCTCGTCCGATGATCCCCCACCAAACGGCCAGCATTTCACAACATCAACACTCCTCATCTTCGATGCATACTCTCTAAAACATCAAATAATCACAAAACGCTTTAACAAACACTGAAACACACAGAGAAAATGATAGCGAAAAAACTAGCAGTATCATCAGCAAACTTACCGGATCGAGAAGCCCTCGAACTTCACCGCCATGCCTCCACACTCCAGTCCTCAACTTCTAGAGAGAGAAACTGAAAGAAAAGCGAGACTTTTATAGAGAGATTAATAAGAGAAAGTAATTAGACAGGCAGAGTAGATCACGTCAGATTTTCTACGGTCCAAATTCGACTTTTAGAGAGAGAAAGTGATAGATTAGAAGGAAACAAAAACATCTATAATAATTTCCACGCCTAGAGAGAGAAACAAAGAGAGAGAAAGAGACTAAACGGAGTAACTCATCGACGATTAAAGCATAGATATTAGAGATTAGATAAACTTTCAAGCGTCGGAAAATCGAAATCAAAGAAAGAAGAGAAAGAAATGGAAAGAGAATAACAACAAAACCTCATATCCTCCAAATCAGCTTCAACGACGATGAATATGTACAAGCACATAGCTACATGCATGTGTATGTGTTGAGAGAGATCAGAACGAGGCGATCGAGCTTTCTTCCACCACCACCACCACCACCACCACCGTCGGAATCCGAATTGTAGAGAGAGAAAGTAGAGAGAGCATCTGCACTTTTTTTTTTGTGTTCCCGCTCTGTATGTAGAGAGAGAGATGAGTGAGGTGTGGTGGTTTCAATCCTATTTTCTGCTCAACTTTTTTTCCCTTATTTAAGACTGACAGCGACCTATGAGAGCGCAACCGAACGAAAAATTAATAATAATTAAAAATGAAAGAGAATATAAAAAATAAAAAAATGATTTTTATACTGACATTTTATATTACGTACTCTCGTGTAAGTAATGCTGAGAAAACATTCGTCCTATACTATACGCGCCATGTCCCATCGCGTTACCTATTTTCCTATGGTGAAATTTCAATGTTTAAAAAAAAAAATTAATTAATAATAAATTTTATAAAACTAAAATCATGATTTTTTTTATTTATAATTATATAAGTAATTTTTAAAAAATCATTTAATTTTTCTTTTTCTTAATTACATTTGGGACTAAATTCAATGGGTACTTTTACCTATAAAATTATAATAAATTTTGAAAAATGTTGGGTGATCCGAATTTTTGTGACTTAAATGACTCAAATGTGTGACGTCGTTTTGAGTGTTTCGAGCAATTCGAATCATAATTTTTCAGGTCACATAACATTGTTGATAAATTTTACAAGTTTAATATATTGACTTTCATTTTAAAAAGTATATAATAATATTTAAGAGCTCTAATACAACTCTAATGATGTAGAGTGGTGGTGTTATATATACCAATTAGTATATTAACTAGTGTACCAACACTAGTTATAATATTATTATTGACTACACTCATTAATCACATTACAAATACTACAAATACTAAAAACCTCTTAAATTACGCCACATCATCAATTGGTACATTAGTTAGTAAACTAATTGGTACATATAGCATTATTCGATGTGGAGAGTACTCATGTAAAGATGGGCCCACACTCCTCTCTATCTCTCTCTCTACTCGCTCTCTTCCACCTCACTAGAGCTCCATTTAGAGTTATGTATCATTATTCAAAAGTATAACATGGTTAAAGAACACAGATAGGAACTAGTTGTTTTTCATCCTGTCGATTAATAAATTCATTTATGGCTTTATTTAACGGGTACTTTTACATATAAAATTTCAAAAATTTAATATTTGATCTCAATTTTAAAAAGTATAAAGCGGCCAAAAAATACAGATAGGAACTAGTTGTACTACATTCAATACAAATTAAATAACATTATTAACGGGTGTGTAACAAAAAGGAAATAAAATCCAACCCACCAACTTGTGCTAATTTGAATCCAAATTATGAAATTACGTCTTGAAAGCAATTTTTTAAGTGTGAAATTTCACAATATTGAAAACTAAAATTAAATTTTCAGTTTTGAAAACGTACACTATGAATTTTCACAATGTTAAACACACATTTAATAAGTGTGAAATTTCACAATTCTAAACTCAAAAGGTGTGAAAAGTTTTTCTTCTCTCTTTTTTTCTTTTTTTTTTTTTTTGTAATTTCGTATTGGTGATTTGATGAAGAAAAATAATTTATTCTTAAGAAAGTTTTTTTTCAATTTGACTTATAATGATATGATATAATGTTAACTTTTAACTTGTTACTCAATGACTAAAATGACGCAAAATATAAATTACTGAAACTACCAAGGTAATTTTCTTTATATTTTTTTTATTAATATGATTATAATAAAGTCTCATGAATTACTTAAACCCTCAAAGTTTTGGGAAAATGAATTTTAACAGATACACCAAAAAAAAAACAATACAAAACAAAACAACCATCATATACAACTAGACAGATTCAGACCCTAAGGCTATGTTTGATTCCACAAGACTAATAGTGAGTTATTAACAATCCTATGAAATTAGTGTGGTATTCACAATCCCACCCCTATCCCATTACTAATAATCCTATAAATTTGTTGGATTAACTATCCATTAGATTAATAATCCTAAAAAAAATGTCAAAACAAACATAGGATAATTGGACCCACGGATTAATAATCATAATCCCATACTCTAATCCTTCCAATCAAACATGCCCTAAACTTCTACCGGTGAAACAACTTGTCATATCCATAATATTGCTTAGAAATTGTAAATCTGAATGATTTGACAAATTTATCACGACTTGGCTAAAACATTTTCCTACTATATTATATTTATAAATATATCATATTTATTATAATCATAATATAAAAATAAAAATAAAAACTCTCAAAATTAGAAACAGACACAAAAATAAAAGGAACACTGATCTCCCTCAAGATTTGAAAAAAAAAAAAAAAACATCAAATTCACAAATTTGACGTAATACATTGCGTCCTTATTATTTTAATTTATTCAACTTTTAATATCCTTTTCATTAGTAATTTCTTGCTCATTTTAAAAAAATAATAATATTATCATATACTTTAATGTATATTTTATCATTGATTATTCTTATGTTTACGTACCATACATAGTAGTTATGTTTGCTTTAGTCTAACTCAAAAAAAATTAATATAATTATATTAAATTTGTCAATTTTATTTTACTTTTTTCAAGCTTTAAGAGTGGTGATTGTAATCTATATCTATATATTATATAAGGAAAAAAAGGTTTCTAACTCACAAGTCTTGTGAGAACTCCAATATTTCAATATTAATTTCTAATTTTTTAGTTTAAAAAAATAAAAATACTAGAGATTCCAAAAATTTTACTAAATGTCTGTGAGACTCACATGGGACCCACATTTGTGTGGGTTCCACAATCATATGAGACATTGGATAAAAATTTTAGTAGAATTTTTGGGATCTCTAGCATCACCTTTCACAAAAAAAGCCTCAGTATTTATTTATTGACTTCTCTCATACACTATGGTTAGTGATGGGATTGTTGAATTAATTTTATAAAATATCTAAAAAAATAATTTGTATATTAAAAACATATATAAAACAAATATAAATTTTTATTAAAAAATAACAAGTTGCAACTGTAAAAAATAAATAAATAAATAAAAATTACACTGTGCATTTCCTTAAAATTTTTTAAAAATAATTTGTATATTAAAAAAATCAAAAATAAATATAAATTCTTATTAAAAAAATAACAGGTTGAAATTGTGAAAAAAAAGGAAAAAAAATTACACTGTGTATTTCATTAAAATCTAAAAAAAAATAATTTCTATATTAAAAAAATATCTAAAACAAATATCAATTCTTATTAAAAAATAACATGTTGCAATTGCGGGAAGAAAAAAAAAAGAGAAAAAAATTACATTGCAAAAAATAATTTGTATATTAAAAACATATACAATTGCGAAATTACACTGTAAATTCTTATTAAAAAATAATAAGTTGCAATTGCGAAAAAAAAAGAGAAAAGAAATTACACTGTGTATTTCATTAATAATGTTAAAAAAATGTGTCAAGTATTTGTGTAAAAGCTTAACACGTGTTCACTCTTAAATTATCAAGTGATTATAGATGAAACCAAACATCTCAGCTTTAATAGCTAACAAATATTAGAAATCCGACCATTGAAGCGTAATGACTGTTAATTAATAGAATTCACCAATCTTTTTGTCTTCTCAAATGTTCTCTTTTTTGGTTTATGTATTCATTCTAATATTGATAGAGAATTAAACGTGTGGAAAAGTGAGAGACATTAAAATTATATATTGAGTTATGAAATTGTCATGATAAAACATAAAGGTTATCTTCCTCTTCTATGGTGATTTATCTAGTTATACTTTCAATTAAAATGTCAGGTGTACTTTTATATCATCATTGAACGTTGTTTTCATTTTTTTTAAATATTTTGTCTCACAATTGTTTGTGTAATAAAATTTATTACATATGTGTTTGTTAAAGCTATTAGATAAACCTAATGCAAGAAGTGCAAATTATTTCAATATCATTCTCAGGATTAGAAATACAAAAAATATAAACAAAAGTATATGAATAGATAAGATTTTATAAATTTTGTTTGTGAATATCACTTCTTAAATATCTTATAATTTATTTATTTTTTGTATTACATTTTATGTTTAGCTTTTTTACTTTTTTATATATAATTTTCTTTGTTTTGTTTAAAAGTTTATTTTTTAAAATTAATAAATAAATAAATAAATCATTTTCTATTTCAAACAATTTTTCTTTTTGTTTTTATTTTTTCTTAAAATAGTTTTAGTTTTGGGCAATTACTTACTCTTTATATATATATATATATTGTAATTTTGTGCATTTTAAATGTATGATAATTTTACTATTATACTCGGAGATGCACTATAAAAGAAGTATCATTCGAAAATCAAGCAAGAAGAAGAAAAATAAATAAAGCAATACGATGAATGTGGAGCAAAAATCAAAGATCAAAACTTCCAAAGCAAGCAAACAAACAAACAAGCGAGTAGAATAGAATATTTGACAATAGACATTTGAAAAATTATAACAAAATTTTATAACTTTCCTTTTTGCTAAGAAAATTCTATTTGGCACTAGTTAAATAAAATGCTTTTAAAATAAATTTTTTTTAATTTGAAATTAAAACTATAGTAAATTTATGTAAGCATAATTGCTAACCACATTTTTTTACTTAATATATAATATTTATATTGACTATCTTTTTGGGGTTTATTGTTTTAAGTATTTATATATAAGTACAAGAAGCTTGTTAGGAATAAACATTTAGGCCTGGTTTGGATTTTAGAAAAAATTCAAAAAGTCAAAAAGTTATATTTTAATACAAACCAACTTTACATTGTGAAAGGTACCGAATTTTTTTTTGATCAGTAAAGAAAAAGAAACTTTATTGATGAGATGAGCAAAACAAGCAACAAAATACATCAATAAAGGAGGGAAGTGCAAAAAGAATCATAGCTAACACTCCACAATCCCAACTAAGTTGGCACCAAGGAGGAAGCACAATCATCTGCAGCACTAAACCCACAGATTAGCGAGAAACCAATCCAAAACAAAGAAACAAAAACAGAAAAAAAAAACCACCCAAACACACAACCTACCAAAACTTCCAATTTGTATTCCAAAACCGCATCAATTTGTAGCCCACCATCAGATCAGCACAACAGCACTACATCACT